CTATTTTATATAGTTATTAATTTCTTATAGTATTCCTACTTTCCTATATAGTTATTTTATTTCTATAATTTATTTTATTTCTTATAAGTTATTTGTAGGGAGTGCAACCGAATCCACAAAACTTGAAACCTGCTAATGCTACCAATATACCTACCCTGAACTAGAAAAAATAATAATAAATAATAAAAATAATAAGTGAAATAAAGATGGCTGGCACCACCCGCCTCTTAGTGAGAAATTTGCGGGAGGCGGAATTTGGGCACTCACACTGTGGTGGGCATTGTGGGAATAATAAATCATATTAATTTGAAACCGTGCATAAGTGTCCCAATATATTAGCTGTGTTTTTGGCAGTATACAATTTATTATGTGAAGTAGAGCACAATAACTTATAGTTTATATAATAAAATTAAACCAGAAACATTACCTCCGGCTCTAATAACTTTCGACTTAGTAATATTTGTTTTTCTCACAGTCTTACACAAAAAATATTTACAAATATTTACGTCACTCGCGCGCCAGTTTGAGAGAGCTCTAAAGCTCGCAATCAAGAATTTTTTTTACTTCAACATTTTTCTGGTTAGTTTTACAAAAAACATACTAAAACAAATTTCTGAGTTAAACCCAGAACGTACCTGTTTCACCCAGTGTGTGTACCCTCCCTCTCACCTATCTGTTTATCTACGCATGCCTTAAAAAACCCAAATCTTAGCGATAATCACCGCTTCCATGACTCTTGTTCCCTAATTGACGTTGACGCTACCGAAACTACACTTAGCTAGTCTCACCTCCTACAACCTAGTGCTCCGCGCCTTCGCCCAGTCGATGAAAAACAGATTGGATCCAAACCAACGTCTCAACGGCTGCAATAAGAGACACGGCATCGCATCAACTCTGAAGCTGCCTGGTCCACAGAAGACAGAGACTGACCGTCACCCTCTTACGATCGATTTCTGTCGCTATCTCACTTGACAAGGCCAATACACCCGAGATGACACTAGTCGATTCAACATATCCCCGAGTGAGGTGACTCTAGTATACCCGACCCTCACCATTCAAACAGGGCCCAGTCTGTATACACTAGTCAGAACCTGCATCGCCTGCCAGTCACTGATTTTGTGTCAGTGCCAGAAAAGGAAAGCCAGAGCAGACGGCAGGACACCTGACCCCTCAGGAAAAGCCGTGTTCGGTTAGCATGCGTGTAAGAGGGAAGAGAAAACTGGTTTGTTAGTTTGATACGTAGTGGCTCATTATGAAGTGGAGAGCGCCGCTCCAGAATGGGAGCTGAGAGTCCGAGCGTCGACTAAACTGCGGTGTCTGAGAGTTTTGCCCAAGAGTCTGTACTCATCACTGAGTTCTTGCAAATGTTTAAAAAGTGGAAAAAAGATTGTGACTGAGTGAATTAGAAAGGCCACAAGATGGAAGCAGAGACAGGCGAGAAGCCCCGTATATTCGGAAAACTTCTGCCCAGGAAAACAGGACTAAATGTTAGTGTGAGAAATGGTTTAATGGAGCGGTCCCGTGAAGAATAGACTGAAAAATGAGGAATGAATTGTTAGAGACTGAGATTCCAATGTGTGATAACACCTATACTTAACACCTCGCAGTCAAAATGAGAGACCCTGCCCTTATCCTGTCAGACTCCACCAAAATAAACGCGAAAGGTAAAAAATTCCCCAGATCTTTAAGAATAACTATATAGAAATAGAATAACTATATAGAAATAGAATAACTATATAGAAATAAAATAACTATATAGAAATAGAATAACTATATAGAAATAGAATAACTATATAGAAATGTTCTCACTAATGGTCTTGTTTGTTTATATAGGTCACACGGTTGTTTTCTTACTTAAAATAAGCCACAGTGGTTTCATTCTGTGCCATGTATTCAGTTGTATTAGACAATAAATTATAAAAAACAAGACTAGAAAGAAGATTTTTAAAAATGCTAATTCCACAGTCTGTCCTATATGAGAAGTAAAAATGACACTGGACCGCAGATATTATTCCTAAATCTGATATTGGCCAAATCAACAGAAATGTTGATACACTGGTGCAAAAGTCTCATGTGTACATCATCCTCTAAATGTAGTACACATAATATAATAAATATAAATATACAGAGTACAATGTATCTAACTCTGACTGTAGCCACAACTGTGGTTACTTTCCTGTTTACACTAATCAAAGGCTTTCTGTTCTGTTGATATTCTTTAAGCCCCGTTCCTCCTCCTCCCCAGCTGTGACTGTTTGTTTTTGTCAGTATTTTTAGCTGCTCTGTACCATAATGTGTTAGAGAAATTAGGATTTTTCCAAAGTTAAAAACACACAGAACGTGTGTGGATTTCTAGACAAAGTTTTTCATGTCATGGAATAGATTCACGGTCAATCAATGATCAAACTAGGATCACTATAAATTACGATCAATAGAAGCCGCTGATCCCATTTCTCTCTTTGTCGGTTCAACTTCCAAAAAATGTGATAAAAGTTTAAATATTCTATTCCTGCTTTTGCTGGGGACCCCCTACAACCCACTCAAAGACCCCTGGACCCCAGTTTGAAAACCACTGATCAAGACAGTTCATCAAGCTTTAAGTGATAGCATCCTACCAGGGGCCAAAGGTGTGAGGTTGATGATGAATGAATCATCTTAAGTCTTAAGAATTATCTTGTAAGTATAACAGGAGCATCAATTCAATCAGAACAGTGGCTCCCAACCTGGGGGGGGGGGGGA